CCAACTAAGAAAATTGATGAGATGGGAAAAGTATCAATAGAACAGTGCTAAATGTCCAATTTCCTCCATTCTGAGATTCTGAACATAGTGGATGATTGAATCTGACAAACTGCAATGATATGAGTTTATTTCCATTTTTGACAATTTATTACACAATACATGATAACAAGTTTACCATGTTTTTTACATAATCAACTAACAATGTTGTAAAGATGCTAGAAATATCAAACAAACACTTTTACGCATCTTATCAATAATGAGACTGTTAACATGCCTAATAATTTAATCTGAGGAAATGTGAAAAAGGAGTATAACTTCTAAAATAATGGCCTGATTTTCGAACTCAACCTGCGTTTTAGTAAGATTGACCACTCCTGTGAGTATAATGACAATTGGCCAATCCGTTTTTCTTATATTGTGTTATCAGTGTTGCATTTATATTGAAAAAAGTGAAAAAAACAGCATAAATTCCCTTATGCTGATTTTCGAACTTGACCTGCGTATTATGAATATTCATCAGTTCTGTAAGCTTCAAGCCAAAAGGTAAAATGGTTTTCCACTCATCATGTTATCGGTGCTGCATATATGCTGAAAAAAGTGAAAAAACAGCATAAATTCCCTAAAAATGGCCCAATCATGCTGATTTTCGAACTTGACCTGCGTATTATGAATATTCTTCAGATCTGCAAGTTTCAAGTCAAAAGGTAAAATGGTTTTCCACTTATCGTCTTATCGGTAAAAGGGCACGGCGACGGCGACGACAGACGCAGATGATGGCTATATGTACAGACACATCTGTGTTTGTACATAAAAAGTAGCGAGAGCAGTGGAAGATATTTGTTGGTGCCTGAGACATCAAACGGCGTAAAAGGAATTGATGATGACAACTTTAAAGTAAGATATCTTCCGACTTAGCCCCCTGCCCAAAAATGTTTGATAAAGACTGAAAATACTGATTCTTTTGTTTTATTTCTAAATTGCATTATACTTCATACTGTGATAATTTCCATAGTGTATTCTAATATCACACAGTAATACTGTGATGGGGTAATGCATACCTTCAGCACCAAAACATAAATACATACATCTACCCCCTTTATACACACCAAAAAAGAATTTAAAAATAACAACACTGTATAATTGACACAACTGCCTTAAATTCCTTTTGACAATGGATGTTTTAGTGCAAAATAAGTCCAAGTCTCTGCATACTCTGTCTGGCAAGTGTGACAGTTATCAAAAAGTACACCATGAACAGCACACTGCTTGGTGCATCAAATCTGGAGAAGATAAGACTTGTGTTGGGCATGCAATATCTGTAATGAAGAGGGCCTTGTGTTAGACCCTTGACAGATTTCAGTGAGACCAAAGTGCAAGATGTGTAGAATATACAACTCACACCACTGACCTGGCACAGCATCATAATCAATCAAATACAAACACTTTACATATAACAAGTGCAAAGGCACAATCCACACAGTGCAGAGTATAATTGGGTGTATCTCAAACATGCACCGATATTTAAAATACCCAACCCCATCAGAGCATTACATTACATTAACATATAGAGAAGTATATATGAGCTAGTGCAGGACTTTGTGGAGCATCTTGCAGATATAGTGGTTGACATAGTAGTAGTAGTATCTGTACACTACAGCACTCCAGGTGCTCAACTCAACATTTGTCAGGCCAATAATTTAAAAATACTTATGCTTAGTATTAGTATATTATTTGTAGTTGACTGCTGCTGACCACTCTACTCACAGGTTCTTGGCATATTCATCTGGATAACAATCCTCCTAGACTTACAAGCTTGCATTTTGAAAATTACTTGTTTTTATCCTTTATTACAGTTCAAACTTGGTGTGCATTACCGGTCATTGTTTCTTTGGAAATGAGTAAAGTACTCTGCCAACTGTCAAGAACCACAGGCTCTTTGCATACAAGGAATGTCTATTTCCACACCCATCCAACCACATAGATTTTTACATGAACTTGTAATGGTCAGTGTTTCTGTGGCCCCTGGTTTTTACCCCCAAAATCCCTTCAGATGTTTATACAGGCTGACACTGTCCAGTGAGATTCCTTAAGATCAGTCCTTGCGAACAGTCTTGATTTTTGTGGCTGATGAAGATAGTCTCGATGCTGGATGGTTTCTTTTTCTTAGACCCTGACTCACCTGTGCAGAAAAAAATAAGATAAAGATAGAAAAACTGAAACAACTGGGTAATTTTTTTCCACAGTTTAACTTTTATATTAAATAAACACTAAGTTACTGCTTGTATAAATATGTGTTTACCCTTAAAAACACTTTTTCCTTCACTATATCATATCATTAACATGCAATAATCATATATGCATAGGTACAAAATTAATCTAAAAGTTAGTTCCAGTATATATGGTATACTGGTCGATATGCTTACCCTGTGACCAGGAGAATGCTTTGGTTTAAGTCTCCCAGCAGAAGCTGAGGTTGTTAGTGGCTGAGGTTCCATTCCCTCCTCTTCCTCCTCCTCTTCCTCATCTTCATACTCTTCTCCATCCTCATCCTCTCCTTCCTCCACAACCTCTATTATGTCATCACCATCCTCATCCATGTCTTCAGAATCTACAACAATAAGATGTGCTTAGTACATAACCATTACACAAGTATAATTATATCACCAAGCATTATGATTTAACATGTACAAATAAGTATGTGTGTACATACAAATCCACATGCAAGCAAGCACCACTATAGATCACATTAATTTTAAACATACTAGTTATTGCTTTCATATGAGCCCAAACAAGTACACATGCACATGTATGCCCATATCCATCTTCATACAACTATACATTCACACTGCACATGCGCTCCTACACACACACACACACACACACACAAACACACACATACACAAATGCACAGACGAGTTTGTTTTCCGGAAAGTTGTTCTTCAAGATTGGAAAGACTAATGACTGCATCTGATAGTGTGTAATAAGAATAGTAAATCAAAGGTTACATTACCCGTTTCATCACTGGGTGTGTAAAATTTTGGTGGTTCTTCAATCCTAGACACAAGCTCTGCTAGGTCAGTGAAGGTCGCATTGAGAGGAGTAAAACACTAAAAATAAAAACCATGTTTTTCGTCATTTTCTATAAACTGCTTGAGACACAAGTGTTGGACACAAGTGCAAGGAATAGAGGCGTGTTTTGAAGGGGGCGCTACATCAAGAGAGGCCAAGGTCTTGTTTCGTTAATATGTTTGAATTGCTTAATCAAGACTGCAGTGCACTGCAATTGGGTGACAATAATGAGGATAAAGTATTCCAAAAAGGTTCCATGTGCACATGAGCACAGCCAACCTTACCAAAAAATTAGAAATAAAGACATTTCATAAATACCACACCAATAAGGATTTTATGAATATGACTATATATAAATGAATTGTTCAAAGTGTTAAAGTGAAAGAAAACAAAAACTGTCAAAGATGAAGATTGTTGCTTCAAACTAACCTGATGTATTTTGGGTTTTACTCTATCTTTAGATTTCTCTTTGAAGAGTTCGTTGATAGCATCTCCCTTGGCCATTGCAGAGAAGAACACCTTACCATGGTTGTAACCCACATCCTATGTACAAACAATGTTCACTGGCTACACTTCATTGTTATTATTACTAAAATATTATTATTATTAAATGTTTAAATATTGTGTAAAGAACTTACACAATAAATCAAAATTCTGTTCAAACTAATGGTTTTTGTTTAAATCATCGTTCTTATAATTTCTGACATAAAAATATATACATACAAAATTTCAATTATAAATATTCTTTTATATTACAGTACTTTCAAACAGAAGTACTTGATACCCTGAGTCAGTAATATATAAATCTTTCATCACCACTAATGGAAGTTTTTTTTTATATACATCCTAAAGTAAGTAGTTGTGATATGACTACTTACATAAATCTCATCAAAGCTTCCAAACTGCAGTGTGCCATACTTGTCAATGGGTGGCCGCAGGTACTCGCACATTCCGCTGTTTGTCACCATCTCCATCTGACGCACACATGACACATAGGCAAGGCGGGACTGGACGTCACTCATGTTTGGCACCTTGATAAAAAAATAAGTGTGAAAAGTGAACTTCCACAAATGGAAGCTTAGCAAAGATATGAGGAGAAAAAGTGACCATCATCTCTTAGGTAAGAAATTAGTCTCATAAAGGGGTAGGGGGTGGGGGGGGGGGGGTTAGAAAGTAGACTCGCAATCAAAGCTTCTTAATTTCTTTGACTTTTGTCTGCAAGAGCAACATTCAAGAAGAATGTATAAGATATTTAATGGAATATGATTTTTTGCCAGTCAAGAATCCTCTGACATTTTTAACATAACCAAATGCATTTTTAAATAGAAACTTTTGATAAACATAAAGGAACCAGTTTCGCTGACTTCTAACATAGTTTAGTCCAAGCTTGACTCTCTTCACTCACTTTGACAGGTTCTGCCCATGGATTCCAGCGTTTCCACAGCAACCACCATCCAGACAACTTGTCGCCATAGTTGGTGAGGTTCGTCTCATCCTGGCTGCCTACGTCTATGGCAAATATTGTTTGAGCACCCATGGTTTTCATGACGTCAGCTGCAGAAATAAAAAGAAACCATTCAGAGTAGTCGTAGATGACATGGTGCATACTAAATTGATTAAATGTTATTATTGAAGTGCTTGAATTTCCCATTCACTCAGAGGTCTGAGGTTTAAAAATACTACGTATGAAGTTTACAAATACTACATTTTTAACATTTTCCAATTTGTCATCTGTAACTGATAATCAATGTTTTTCTTTGATTAAACATTATACTACACCTGCAAAAAAAAATTTAAACTGTTTTCCTCAATAATAAAGAAAGGATGGCATACAAATAAAGTTTTTTTAATCATTTCTCATCCCATAATAATCAATGGAAATACATGGTAAGATGGATGAAATGTTCGCTGTGGACATTGCAACAAGATTAACTTTTTGAAAAGACTTTGTGATTACGCTTTACAAAGAACAATCTTGCTTTATTTATATAAAAAAAACAAATCCTTCAAGAGAACAACAGTCAAAGTCTCAAAAAGTGCTTTAAAACCCAAAGTCCTCAGTTCAGAAATGGTATATATATATATATATATATATATATATATATATATATATATATATATATATTCAAATCTAAAACACTACAGGATATGTAAATGAAAATATAGTACATAACAAGTCACAAACATTTCACCACAGATCATAAAGCATATTAAAACAAAAAGTAAAATCTTAACAGTGCTTAAAATTTAGATTGAGGAAATACAGATGATGCTCAATTATGCAGTTTATCAAAAGAAGTATAACTTGGAAGTTAAGTTACTTCAGGAACAAACCAGTTAGCCAGAGGAAACATTTCAAATTACTATTTAATTTTTCAGTTAAAAGTTTATCATTTTAGATTGAAATGCCAGATTATTTCCATGTTATAAGTCTGAATAATAAAATTAAGAAAATTTGTAGCTACAGCACTATCTAAGTCAAAATATCAACAATATACACTGGTCACATTACAGATGGCCATATCACAATAGAGATGACCATGTTAAAGCTGATGTCCAGTATGTACCTGGTAAATTATTAACATATCCTCCGTCCATCAGTAAGTGACCGTCCATGGGATCACACAATGGCGGCATATATCCCGCGAGGGACATGCTAGAACGTACATAGCGCCACAGGGACCCTAGAAAAAGAAAGGGAAAATTCCTCTCCCTTAGACTACTGGGTCTCAACACACAAAATACCTGGTAAGTTGTTGCAATAGCCTCCATCTAAAATAAGATGTCCGTCTTGGGGATCACAGAGAGGAGGGAAGTAGCCAGCCAGTGACATGCTGGCCCTGATGTATCTCCACAGGGAGCCTGTAAGAACACAAGCCTAAGTCAACATAACACAGTGGTGAATGCACCACGGCACCAGTGCACACATGCACATTGCATGCACCGCATGTTTGTACACAGCATGCGTTTTAGTTGTTTACCTGGGACGTTATCTACGTAAGCTCCGTCCACAAGTAAATGTCCGTCCCGCGGATCACAGATAGGAGGTAGTGCGCTCGCAATGGACATGCTGCCACGCACATAACGCCACAAGCACCCTACAAAGAGCCGGATACAGCAAATACAATCTTTACTGCTGGAGTTAAGTGTAGAAAACCTACTGCACAGAAAAAAAGGCTTGTTAGTAAAAAAGAAGACAAGTTTAGAAATTTGCGCCTTCTGTTTGTTTCTTTTTTTTTATTAACCCCCCCCAAACATATTTTACACAAGCAATCCAAATTACATATCTTTAAATGAAACAATACAAGAAAGATTTTGGCTTTCCTGCATGTGAAAATTTCTAACCTTACAAACTGTAAAAGTCGAACATTAAAGTGAGATAACCATTAGCCAGGTATGCACCACCAAGCTGCTCAACTTTCAGTCTAATGAGGTGAAAAGTTTAAGTCAAATCTTGTCATTCAAATGTCTAGTTAAATTCTACAAGTCTTTATTTGCTTTTGGCAAGTAAAATTAGAAAAATAAAATAAAATAAAGCTGTTAAAATCATGAAGTCTTTGTTCAGTGCTATAAGGCTTTTCCACTCAAGCATCTTATCTTATATATACAGTAGTATTGTTATGCTTTGAGAGGCTCAACTATGTATGATTATGCTACACAGGAATTAACTCCCTTTTAAAAGTCCTTCACAAGTTCACTTCAACCTGCTTAAACATTTTACTGACTCTTATATAACAGCTACACTATTAATTTGTCAACCTCTTTAACATGCCAATACAACTGTATCACCAAGATAGACTGCTTGATGTGAAAAGACATAAAGTGTTAACCTGGCTTGGTGTCATACATTTCTTACAATTGACTGCTTTCCCACTAACAGATACAGTGATCCAGCTATATCAAGTCATTAGTGTGAAGTGATGTTCAAACAAATGGGATCATTTTCACATTTTGTTCTTAACAAAGGTAACATTGTGCAATATGGTTATGACTCTTCCCTAGCCATGTATCACATTTTTTAAGCCCTAGACTCAAACAGTCGAAATAAAAGACAAAAAATTAAAAATGTGAAACTGATCCTTAACAACTTACAGCAATAACACATGATAAAAGAGAAATATTTTTCTAAGATATCAGTACGGTGTAAAAGTAGGTGGTTTCATGTTAGATTTTATAACAAATGGAATTAAGTTCAAGTAACAAAGATAAGACTATGAAAGACATGGTTGTGACATCATACTGACCATATGCATGCACCTCATTACTTGCATTTTAACTTTCTTAAAATTAGTTGAGTCAAACTGATACTTAACATTTAATACATTATGAAATTAAAGAAATATTTTGTTTACTAAAATATCAGTAGGTGGTATCATAGGTTAGATCAAACAATTTGTTCTCAAAATGGATCAAGATGGGAAGGGAGGAACTGGAAGTAAAGGCACTGTTAAACCAACAGAGGTAGTGATAAAAAATTTGCAACAAATGCTAAACTTCAACACTGAACATAATTAAGCATGCAAATTTCAACATAACTTTCACCAATATTTTCTTTATAATTATCACCATACAATTTTCTTTAAACTGCCATGTCTTTTTTCATTTACCCAGGGGCACCCACCTAGTATATTCAACAAACACATCCAGAATATATCAGGCTGTGCCTTCACCCACTTGCACCCACATAAATCACTCACCCACTCTA